CAAGTCCCCAGGCCTCAGTCAAGCCACAGTGGTGACTGCTTCAGGAGACGCGTGTCCTCCTAAGGATGTGCCCCCAAAGGACCCAGTCTCCCAGGACCCGGTCTCCCAGGACTCCACTCCTCAGAACTTAGCCTACCACCATTCCCAGGAGAGCCTGACCTCCCAGGAGAGTGAGGACACCTACTTGTAACCCCAGGAGCTCAGGCCTCCAGGTGGAGTCTTCTCTTCTCACATCTTACACGGTTCAAAGACTGACAACACTCCAGGTCCTCGGCACCTGAGGAGCCAACTGCTTGGCCATTGGGCTGGGATAGAATCTGGCTGGTCCAGTACAGATTCTGCCTGAGCCTCCTTATTTATTTTCTCTTGAGTTGAGCTGGTCCAGCCAGTACAGGCAGAAGCTATGGCCGAAGGGGTTGGGTCTCAGCCCCATCCTTCTGGGGGATGTTTCCCAGGGATAGGGTACTGACATGTGGGGAAGCAGTGGGGTACTCTTTGTGTAAAATAGAAATATGGTTTTGTACGGAAATAAACAGGCTTGTGTATAGAGCTGGTGTGTAGCTAGGGACCCAAAGGGATATCACCCTCCATCCTGGGCCCCAGCTCAGCAGGAGCCCCTCTGAAACACATACAGGAGACAAAGTCCAGAGCCAGCTGCTGTTCTTGGCTCTTTTCTCTCAACCCATCTTTCTTCCATGTCCACCTACTGATACAAATGAGTCAATCTAGGGCTGAAGCCCACCACTGGGGCAGAGCAGGAAATAGTCCCCAAGCCCTTGGTCCTGCTTCTTTATTGGGGGTTGGAGGGTAGATCCTGAAGAGGTAGCCTAAAGCTGTTCCTCTTCCAAGGCCAGATCTAGATGCTGACCATAGCAGGGAGTAGGGAGACACAGGCCTCCACCAGAGGCAGACAGGTGAGGGGAGAAGTCAGCCTCCTTGATAAAATGCTACTTTCTGTTTGCTGACGTGGTCCACATGCCAGGCTGGGCCTGGGCCTGACATAAGAGGAGTTCCACGCCCTTCTCCAAAAGCTATATTTGTACCCCAAGCCCCTCACCCAAGTGAGCAGACCACCATGGAGGGGCAGGCAGGTGCTCAGTGACAGCCTGATAACTGGCAGCGATGGGAACAGGGTGTCCCTGGGAGAGGCCCCCCCTTCTGCTGAGGAAGCAGCTTTTCTAGTCAAACAATAGTGGTTGTTCCTGGCCTGAGACCAAGCTGGGCCAGACCATAGCAGAGAACAGGGAGGGAGAGACAGACTCACAGGGAGCTTCCTGGCATTGCCTGGGCCTAGGACGTTGTCCTGGTACAGCTGAGGATACTGAGGCTGGTGAGGCAAATGTTACCAGAGGCTCTGGACAGCTTGCTCACTCTGTCTCCTGCCTCTCACCCCTATGGTTTCCCACTCTGTCCACACTTGCTGTGGCAAGATGAACTCCGCCTTTGAAAAGCACCCCCCACCCCCTCAGTTCTCCAGGGGACAAGCCAGGATGTGGCAGCTGCATACTGTTCCATGAGAATCATCTGGAGCTAGCAAAGCCAGGAACAGGACTGAGCCCAGCTTCCGTCTGCCTATGATGCAGGGTCTGGAGCCTGAAGTCCTGCATGGGCCTGCTGGGTCTTGATCACACTCAAGGCCTACTTTAAACTACCTTGTTCAAAGCCTCCAACCTGAAGCTGAGTGCCTGGGCCAAACAAGGGCACTTCGGAGCATGCCCTGTCCTGCCATGAAATCAACCTGTGCTTGCTCATTCCTGCTCAGCCTTGGGGTTTTCTTAAACCTTTAGAAGCTTGATCATACCTGGGGTGTCTGCCAGTGCTTGGGGGCCTTCTTGGATCTGTAGCTAACGTAGATGTGCTCAGGCCAGTTGAGTTCTGCTAATGATGACAAGCTTTGAGAAAACTTCAACAGGGCTCAAGTCTCTGGCTTGAATACCCAGCAAACCTCAAATACTATGGCCTGTCCCCTCAGTGTCTGAGCCCTGGGCATTCTCACCTCAGATACTTCTGGGTTGTTTCCCTGGAATAAGATTCAGAGTCTACAGTACCCTTTTTTTGTTCCTCCCCTTAGTGGGGCAAATTCAACTTCCGGAAGTTGGTTGACTAAAAACTGGGCCACAAAGACCAGGTTTCAGCTGGTGGAAACAACAACAAGGTAGGAATGCAGCCTTGGGCAGCCCATTTTTAGGGGTCTATAGTGTTAACACTCTGTCTAAGCTCAGCCCCACAGTTACTTGGCAACAGCCAGGTAGGCCTGACCCACTATAAAAGGAGCTGCTTGCCCCTCTCCTCACTCTCTTGCTTTCTCTTGCTCTTGCTTTCCCTTCCCCCCCTCCCTCCATGTGCTCTTAGCCGGCCTCTCCTCCTCCTCTTCTCTCTCTGCCTTTCTTCTACCCTCTTAACTCCCCTCCCCATGCCTTGAATAAACTCTATACCATACTGCCTTCGCGGAGCTCGGCCCTGGGGGTCGGGGGACGGATGCCTCAACATGGGCACGACGAGGCACCCCCTTCCCCCATACCTGACTACACCTCCATAGAATATATCTTCCCTCCCTTTTATCTTTTTATAAACACATCATTTAGTCCCTACCAGCCTTATCAGCTCTGCAGTCCCGGCCTCCCCCAACCCCCACCCCCACCCCACCCCCTGGGAATAAAAGGAAGATAATAAGGCTTCACCCAGCGGTACCGCGGGTCTCCAGCCTAACCTCTCCACTCCGGTGTTTTATGGACAGCTCCAGCCCTTCGAGCCCTCCTGCGCCTTTTTTTTTTTTTTGTGGGGTGGGGGCGGGTGTCCAAACAGGGTTTTTCTGTGTAGTCCTGGCTGTCCTGGCTGGACCAGGCTGGTCTCGAACTCACAGAGATCCGCCTGCCTCTGCCTCCCTAGTTGGGATTTAAAATGCGCACTACCGCCAGATTTTTTTTTTTTTAGGTTTTTCGAGACAGGGTTTCTCTGTGTAAGCCCTGGCTGTCCTGGAACTCACTCTGTAGACCAGACTGGCCTCGAACTCAGAAATCTGCCTGCCTCTGCCTCCCAAGTGCTGGGATTAAAGGCGTGCGCCATCACCGCCCGGCACCACTGCCAGATTCTTAAAGGCTTTAATGATAAAGCCCACGTGCCAGACTGGAGGATAGACAGGGGACCGGGAGCTCCCAGCACGTTCCCAACACCAACACAGCGGGCGTCCAGCGGAAAGGGCGTGTCCGGGGCGTGTCCTGGAGGCCACAGATGGGTGAGGGCAGGCCGAGTTCCTCAGGCTGAGGCTAGAAGAGTGGAGCTGACTTTGGCGGAGTTCGAAGACAGCCCGCTGCGCCGGGTAGGCAGGGCTCAGGAAGGAGGCGTGGCCACTTCACAGTGGCTTTGGGGCGTGGCCGCCAAAGAGTGGATCCCTGGCTGGGCGGGCCCGTCGCGGGCGGTGCTTCTTTAAGCCGGGAGCCACCGCTTCGCCTCCTGCCTAGGTCTAGCAGGCGGCGAGGCCGGGACTGCGGGATCTGCGATGGAACTTCACATCCTAGAGCACCGGGTGCGAGTACTGAGCCTCGCCCGTCCGGGCCTCTGGCTCTACACCCACCCGCTCATCAAGCTGCTCTTCCTGCCCTGTCGCAGCCGGTGCGCACCTCGGTTCACGAGCGCAAGTCGGGCGGGTGGAGGCTTCTCTGTGCCTCTGGGCCAGGGGCGGAGGACTAGAGTCGCCGCGAAGCAGCGGGTACCGGGTGGGGACGCTGGCCACTCTGGCCACCATCCGGCCTGGGCCTACCCTTTCTGGGACGCCGCCTATCCGGCCCGGAGGGCCCCCCTCCCCGGACTTGTCAAGGTGCAAACTGCCTGAAGTGGGCATGGTGGGGGCATGTGTTTCTTGCCAGGCGGTAGCCCCTTCCCAGACGCCTCACGTTAAGTTTGAGAGTTGTCCAGGGGAGCCCAAAGCCCGACACCTCTAGGATGTGGAATGGAGAAGAGATCCCAAATATGGGTCCTAGACTCATTGATCCAGGGAAGAAATTAAGGCCTGCGTGTGGTCGGGAAGGCTCCCGGCGGGGGTCCCTTGGTGCTGCTGGAACAAAGTTCATTTGCTGTCTCCATCCCATTCACTCTAGGCTGAAAGTCTTCCCACTCCTTCCCTCCCTACTAGGTGCAAGTTCTTCAGCCTGACTGAGACTCCGGAAGATTACACACTCATGGTGGATGAGGAGGGCTTTAAAGGTGGGAACTAGCTCCTTGCTCGCCTCTAACCTGTACCCTAAGGTTTAGGGATTCAGCTCCCCAGATTACTTAGACCTCAAAGGAATATAGGTCTGGGTTCAAATATTCAATCACTCACTTAAGTACTGTTTTCTCTTGTGTAGGATGTAGTCGTGACAGTTTAACAGTATTTGTGAGAGTTTTATAAATTTAAAACCCACAAGGAGCTGGATATGAGTCCCAGGCCAGCAGGAGGGTTGGTCGTGGTGTCTCACAGTTTTAGGGGAGAATAAGAGGGCTCCTGCAGCTGTTTTACCCCTGGACATTATTCCTTCTTGGGCTTGTCTCCCCAGTGAAAGCCAACTCCTCCCTTACTGGCCTGGGAAGTCTAGGAGTCTGAGGGTTAGGGAAGGAATGCAGGAGCAGGCAGCAAGCCCAGAGCAGGGTCCTGGGGCCTCCTGGCTGTGTCTAGGCAATCAACAGCTATCCTGGCCCTTGTCCCTGTTCAGCACTGGGACTGGGGAACTGACTTCTGGCTCCCATTTCTGCCTGCTTGGCCCATCCTCTAGGGCCTGGAATCTCAAACTAGCCACCTAGAGTTTGGCTGAGCCTCCCTCCCAAAGGCCTTAGATTCCCTGTTCTGTAGGGAAATCTCCTGTCTGCAAGGGAGCTTCCCCATCAGTTGATCACCAGGCGCCCTCTAGTGGTACTTTGAAGCCCATTAAGCCAAAAAGTCCTGAGGACTGTCCATTTTGCAGATAGGAAACTGAGACTGTGTTAAACAGTGTTTGTAATCTCATCACGTAGGAGGCTGTAGCAATAGGGTCCGTTTGAGTTAAATCCCAGCTTAATATACATTGTAAGACTGTCTCAAAGCAAACAAACAATCAACCCCCACCCCCTCAAAACACACTTGTCCCATGTCACACAGCAAGAAAAAAAATTTTTTTTAAATCTGGGCCTTGAATCTGGCTCTGAGTTTGGAGCAGTTGTGCTCACTGAGAACGCCTGCATGACGCACACTGAGGCAGAAATGATAGGAAACAGTCCCGAGCTCCAAGTCTGTCAGGAAACAGATCCGATCTACCTCGGAACCGGGCAAGGTTTAGACACAGAAACTGAGAGGCAGAGAGGAGCCGACTAACCAAACATGTACCTCCCGCCCACAGAGCTACCCCCATCTGAGTTCCTGCAAGTGGCTGAGGCCACATGGCTGGTGATGAGCGTATCTCACAGTGGCTCGGTGGTGCAGGCTGCTGGAGTAACCAAGATTGCCCGGTCTGTGATTGCCCCGCTGGCTGAACACCATGTGTCTGTTCTGATGTTGTCCACATACCAGACAGACTTCATCCTGGTGGGTTTGGGAAGGAGCTGATGCAGGGCATAAGCAGAGGTGCCTGCTGTTGCATAATATGTGCCATTTGCCTTGACCCAGGTACGGGAGCAGGACCTGTCTGTGGTGATCCACACACTGGCCCAGGAGTTCCAAATCTACCGCGAAGTAGGCGGGGAGCCTGTGCCTGTTACCGAGGACGATTCCAGCAATGGCTTTCCCCAAACCCAGCACGGTGAGGTCTGCCTGCCAACATCCAAATTTAAATGGGACCTCTTCCTACAGGAGGGCTTGTCTTTTAAAAGGGTGCAAAACACTCTCAATGTATGAGATGGAGTAGCCCTGCCCTATCCTGCCACTAGGGGTCGCCCCAGTCCAAGATAACCTTTTCACTTTGTTGTCCCGTATCCTGAGCAGGGCCCAGTCCCATGGTGCATCCCATTCAGAGCCCGCAGAACCGCTTTTGTGTCCTCACACTGGACCCTGAGACACTGCCGGCTGTCGCCACCACCCTCATCGATGTCCTCTTCTACTCGCACAGGTGGGCCATGAATGTGCACTCGATCTCTGCCTCCCACTAGTGTTTCCTGCCCTCTGACCTTTGTCTCATCCCTTCTGTCATTCTGTGTCCTGCTCAGTGCCTTAAGGTTCCTGACAGACTGTTAGTTCTCAGCCAGAGGTGTCAGCAGAGCTACTTTCCAGCCATATACGTCCATCCAGCCTTGTCCACAAGCAGAGCCCTAACTGTCTGGCAGCTAGGGCTCATCCCTCAGAAAATCAGGGGTCTCTCACAATGAAGTAGAGATTCAAGGGCCTTCCCAGAGCTGTCCATTCCAGCCTCTCCTCTGTGGTCTGCTTGTTGGGAAGTGGAGAGGGCCATGTGCCTGACAGAGCCCATAACCCTGTCATCCCTCTTCAGTGTCCCCAGAGAGGCAGCCTCAGGTGGTTCTGAGCCAACTTCCATTCCGTTCTTCGCTTTCTCCCTCATTGAGGGTTACATCTCCATTGTCATGGATGCAGAGACCCAGAAAAAGTATGTAACTCCTCAATTCTCCATAGACCCTAGACCCTCAATCAACCTCAGGGAAGGTGGAGGAGGGGTGCCGGGTTCTGAGGTTAGCAGGACATGCCCTAGGGACCAGGGTAGATAGGGGTGCGTGGGGTGCCCTTCCCATCACCCACCTGCTTGCCCAGGTTCCCCAGTGATCTCCTGCTGACCAGTTCCTCTGGGGAGCTATGGAGGATGGTGCGCATCGGGGGACAGCCCCTAGGCTTCGGTGAGGACCACTCACTCCCTGGACCGGGGGAAAGGGCAACTCTGTGGGTCTTCACAGCATCTAAGGTAATCCCCCCGTGTCTCCAACCCTCAGATGAATGTGGGATTGTGGCCCAGATCGCGGGCCCCCTGGCGGCTGCTGACATCTCTGCGTATTACATCAGCACGTTCAACTTTGACCATGCCCTGGTGAGGACCTGGGCTGGGGTAGAGGTTCCAGCAAGCACACTGAGATCCCAGTGGTGGGGGAAGGGCGACATCACAGCTGGTTTAGGGAGTCAGCCTAGTGTTTCATGCTGTGTACTCCCTCCAGGTTCCTGAGGACGAGATCAGCTCTGTCATTGATATTCTCCAGAGAAGGCAAGAAGTCCTGGCTTCCAAAGATCCCTAGGGAACACCAGACTCTCAGCATTCTCTTACCCCCTGGGCTTTCAGAGACTTTTCTGAGCTACATCCTGAAGCTTCAGAATGAGTCCCTGATCCCACCAAGGGTTCTGCTGTCTATATGTAAGCTCATGGAGCTGGAACTCGTGGACATATCTGCCCATGGAAGATACCTTGGTGCTTGGGGCTTAGACCCCCAACCCAACACTTTCTATGTGACCTCAGTGATGCACAGTGCCTGCCTGTGGTTCAAGCCGCCTCTCACCTGGCTCAAGTCCCCTGGGCTGGGCTCTGACCTCCAGCCCGGGTTGCCTTCGTGGCCAGCTGAGTTCCAACGGTGCGCTTCCTTGCTTCCTTCTTGGGGCTCCGAAGGAAGAATTACATCTCACTTTTATTTTCATGACTGTTTAAATAAAGAAAAGACATGTGGAGCTGTGCTCTCTGGTTCTGAGTGACAGCCAGTGTCAGGTCTCGGACTCTTCTAGACTTGTCCCCACTCCTTGGCTTTTCAAGCAGTGTATGTGACAAATGAGGAACCAAAGCCTGCAGCACATTTGTGACTAAGTCATGTGGTTCCCAACCAAGGCTCTTCATCTCTAAAGTGGAGCGTCTCTTCATTCTTAGTTATACAAAACAACCTAGAGCGTTCTGGACACTGGGAGAAATTCCTCTGTCCCTCTTACCTAAGAGTCCCCTAGCTGGATACTGGAGAACCTATCCAGGAGGTCTCAAAGCACCTTTCTCCAAGGTTACTGTCTGCATTCCTATGGGCCTTGCCTGAATTCTTATGTCTCTCTCGTAGAGAAGTCACACAGTTTATGACACTTGGGATGGTGGCCAGGCTTTTGCTGCTGAGGTGCAGGGCTATGTGGACAGATCAGGACCCTGGAGCCCTCCTTGTCCTCTACTGATATATGCCTGGGCACATCTGGGCCTGGATTTTTCTGTCATGGGGCCTCCTGCTCAGTAAGACCAGAACTCCATTGCAGGGGCCAGGGCCCCACACATGCCCTGGGAGGTTATCAGGTACCTTCAGTTCAGACCCGCCCATGTGCAGGATGGGAAGAAGGGTGTGACTTCTGTGTACCCAGGTCATAGTGACTCCCTAGAAAAGCCACCACATAGGCAAGCTTCTGGCAGTATGCCCGCCTGGCTCTGGGGATCCCCAGGGCTAGAGCCTCAGGTTGCAGATCAGATGAGCCTAGAGCACAGCCCGGCATGGTGAGTGAGAGGTGAGAGGCCTTGGCTCGTCTTTTACTTCAGCCTCAGTTTCCCCATGTGCAGGAATCAGTTCCTTCTGGGACCCTGGGAGGAAGGACAAACTCCATTTCTTTGGAGCTTGTCTGTGGTTAGGAGTGGGATGGAGAAGTCCTGTAATGGGGGGCTAGTGTAAGCCCAGGCTTGGGAGTGGGCAGCCTGCACAGGAAGTGGGCCAGGACCTTCAGGGCTGCTCGGGCAAGGGGCAGGAGACAGGAGCAGGAGGTGAGCTTGTCTGCCACTAAGGCTGCATAGCACAAGGAAAGCTGCTTCTCTCATTGACCTCAGTGCCTGCCTCTATGGGGAGGGCTGTTAAGGGGGACACACTGTTGATTCACACAGTTTCCTCACTTTCCATAGGTGGAAACAAAGCCCAGAGAGTGATGAGTTTAAGGTCACTACACAGGGATAACAAAGTAGAAAACAGAGTAGAATTCTAAAAGGGTTCATGTGCTCACC